TCTAGAATATGCGAGACATATGATCTGTATATGTTCATACGATAGTATATTATTAATAGGTTTGCTTTATAATTATATGATTATACTTTCTTTAGAAAAACCGATCTACAATCTTAAACCGCAAATCTTTTGTGGCGACAATTTTTATTGAGTGATCGAAAAAAAGATTATCAATATTACAAAGTGTGCCATCTGGAAGCAGATGGAAAGTCCCTGATTGGACCTCGATTCAATATTAATTTTGATTCTAATTATTTATTTATTATTATTTCGAAAGAATATTTTGTAATTTATTACTATTACATGTATTAAATTTATTTCATAATCAACTAAATTATATTATTATAATTATATTAATTGATAATTAATTACAAAATTTTAAAACTTCAATTTAAAACTCATTTGTTTCGCTCTTGCAATATTTTTTGGTCATTACGACTTGAGATTCCGCTTAGTTACAGGCCAAGATTTTGCCAATAAAATAAATTGTAATAGAAATTATAATTTTAATTTGTTTAATTAATTATAAAAATATTTTGAGTAATAAAAATATGACAAATTGAAGATTTGGAAAATCCGCATTGGTTGGTTATCAAAGTTAAGCAGAAAATCAATGACAATACAAACATTTATTCTAAGTCTAACGAAATGAACTTCTGGCAAAATATCTCAATTTAATAAAAAGATTAGTAAAAAGTTAAAAATAGCAACAACAACGTCACTGTGCAGAGAGGCGCTTTCGCATAGCCTACATGTTTAAAATCACGATCCTATAATTTTAATCTTCTAGAACAGTTGAAACCCATTCATTTTAGGAATTAACATGAATGAAATTTCGAATGAATCATTAAACCATACAATGAATCGTACTTGATTTGATGTGTGCAGTAATTGCACTTAACACATCGAGAGCATTTGCATAGAGATTTTCCACTTTTATGGAAAAGCAAAGTCCATTTAACGCCGTTGACAAAAAAGGCATGAAACATTGGAAAGTCGTAAAGAATTTATAGTTTATTTGCATAAACTCTTGATGATGCAATTCTTTTGTGCGTTGTACACTATTTTATCCAAGATACAACTATTTAGATTTATGCTCAGATATGTACCAAGCCCAAAATGAAATCAAACACAGCAATGACTTCATTAATAGGAAATTTTATTCAACTATTTGAAATGGATTTGTTTATGGTTAATTATATATGATAAGTAATATATATACATATGGGGTTAGTTATTGAGTTCACTATTTCTAATTAACTTAACACGTAATTAACATTAAGTATTGAATTAATCTATTTATATAAATCGTTATCTCTAAACCGGGGGACTATAAGATAATATACGAGTATCTTTATATTCTCGTTGGTACTCAGAGCATAGATTCTGTATGCGAAATATTATTGAATATAAATAGTATCTAAAGTAGCTTGAATATATTTATCATATAGTTTTATTAAGGATACGTTCTGATAAACAAAACACATCTCTTATTTAATGGTAGTAACTTTTCGCAATAATTGCGAATTTAACAATATTTTAAACAACAGTTTATATTTATTTTATGTATTTTTGTTAAAGATATGGCTTGCAATACTTGCTGCTATATAATATATACATTCATGTATAGGATATTGCTTGGAGAGGTTTAGCTCTTAAATTAGCAACACTGTTTTTAGTACAGAATGCATTTTATTATAGCGAATAGACTGGTACCAGTCTATACACATTCCTGTATAGATTGTTACAATCTATATACCATAGATTAGGTAAATATCAGTCTACATAGACTGACCTATATTACTTCACTGATGCTACCGATCGAAACGTCATAGTCAGCGGAAAGCTCAAGAGATCTATTATGAATTGTTACCCACTGATATAGCGTTATATGCAACAGCTTTTGTTTCAATTAGACAGCAAAAAGTATCATTCAGCTTACGAATCAAACAATTTACTGCGTGCAGAGACTTTTACAAATGGGAGAGGGTTGCGTTGGAGTTCAAACTTCTCCAAAAGATATTTGACACTAGATATTTATGAACTAAGTAGCTTTTTAAAAGAGTCCTTTAGTACATTATCATCATGCAAATTTTATTTAATGGTCTCATAAATTGGGGTTCGTGATATTGTCGTGATATAAAAATAATCACATGTGAATTCTAACGATTTCGGGTTATGTTGACACCTTCAATAATAAAATTGCAGACCAGGAGAAGAAGAACTTCGTTGTTTGTGAGTCTAAAACTATTCTGTATCTTAGTAAAAGATAATTTCTATTTATTCATACAGAAAGAAGAGGTAAAACTATTTTAAAAAAATCTACCAAAGCTTTTACAATTAATAACATATGCTTAATGCTTCACCAAGGGGGAAAGATCCACTTACATTCATACATATGTCATAGTCAAAGTCGCATATAGTGAGTTTCAACTTTAAAAGATTTAATAAGTTTATGCAAATTAACAAAAACAACTTATTATTTACAAAAACTCCAACTCCGCACTATAGGGTATCTTATCACATTATCAAATTACGAAATCGAAAATGATGAATGCAGGCTTTGTATAGAAGAGAGTAAAACTTTAAAATATGTGTTTTGGAGTTTACATGGCTTCGATGGTCAGAGGAAATCGCGGCATCTTATATTAGAAAACATATTATTATTATTAGAGGATGTGGCAATGCGACCATCAAGTTTATTGTGCCCCTTACTGTGCTTAGAATAGATCTTTAAGCCCTTTTTGCGTCAATAAAAAGTAGTATATAACCTACTTCACAAAGTTTTTTTGCCTCTTTTGTAAAAATATACATTCCTAGTAGCTTATTTCATATGTGCTTTGGCACAGGGCATTCTAGCAGCACATGTATGGCTGTATTCTCATTCTCTTCACAGAATCTACAGTTTGCATCCGTGAGTATACCCAGTCTTGTAAATCAGAAAACATAAGACTCGTTAAAATTGGATATATAGAACGATCTAGCGAGAGAATTGGAATTGGAAAAATACTCTGAATCCATGTACTACTTAACCAACGCAGCGTCTTTCAGACAGAAGTATGGCCAATTTAATATGCAGCAATATAGATTCTGAGCAACAAGATTATCTGTATAATTTCGCATTCTTGTTGTCAAATTTCTAGTAAGCATTTCAATTTCTTCCTAAATAGTCGGATGAAATGTTGGGATTATTTCAGAGAGTTGGCTAGTCTTATCTCTGTTTACCGATAAGTTTATTATTATGATGAGATTATTTGGTAACTCTTACTAACTAACTAATTAACTAACTGTTTGGTTTATCAAAATATCTGGACATAAAAGAATTTGCAATGTAATTTGTTATTCTGCTTGAGTTGAAAAAAGTTCAATTAATTATCTCAATTGCTGAGATAAAAAAGAAATACAAATATTGTATAAGATATTATATATAAGACATACATATCAAAGTTGATGCTATCCTTGGCCTTAGCACAAACGATATTAAAATCTACACTGAACTTCTTACAGAACACTGTAAATTTAATTACCACATGAAGATTAAAGATGCGTTAGAAAGTGGTTGCTGTCGACTCTGTCATGAGGAGAAGAAATCATTAGAACATATTCTATGCAATTGACGTAGTTTCGACTACCTTGAAAGCGGGATCTTAGTCCCAAATCAAATAGGTAACATTAAGTCCACAGCAATTGCGAGATTTATAAATAGTCTAGAATTGTTTTAGTTGGGCCTTTAGGTGCACAATAGATCTTTTAGGTCGGGGTGCATTCATAGCCTGTTATTTAATAATAATATATAAGACATATAAGATGTGTCAGATAACAAATATTTTTTTATAATGGACTTGTAGATGAATCCAATATCTGTTTGGGTTGAGAGAAATCTAATTAATGAAGGCGTGAAAGTAATTATTACAGGGAATAATAAATAATCTTCCATATCCACTTCCACTTTAAAATCAACTGAAAAAAATCGGAATATTTATGTTGTATTATATCGCATGAGTATGGATATTTATGAAGATCTAAAAGATTCATCTTTTGAATATATGAACTCCCCCTTTCACTGAAATTAAGTTCAATTGAATGTACTTATACGCTACTTATAAGTAAGCTTCATTTGTATGTTTTTAGATGAACTTAAGAAATTGAATATACATAGAGTTCTAAAGCCATCTGTTTACTATTCTGCTATGAGTGCAGCTAATCTTAATGGTTTTGTTTTACTGTAGAGATGATTTCACTTCCATATTTGTTTAAGAGAAATGGTTGAGGTTAATGGAATACAATGCATCATATACTTTCCATTTTAATATTAAGCGTTTCGTAAAATGCTTTTATTATTGACAGTAAAGATACGTGATGTTCAATTATGATCATCTCAAGTTCTCTTTCGATTTCTTTGAATTGTGATTTATTATGATTTATGTGCGGTATTTTTCATTCATTCATTACTTTTAGAACGATTGAGACGATGAGAAGAGTTCAGAAAACTCAAAAAACCAATAAAAACTCAATAGTGGATCGCTGCACGTTCGCAACTGTGAGATATTTCAATTGTTGGCAACTCTTTTTTGAGAAAAAAAAAATGATTATAAAAACTTAATGGGAATGAATATAAAAACAGCAAATGCCGAATGCCGCTTTTCAGTACAATTTGAAAACCGCCAAAGTGTGGAGCTCAGATACGTGATCGGCAGAATCTCATGTGAGTTCGAAACTTAAGCGATAAGTCAAATACAAATTGTGTTAAGCGGTACAAACGCGAACGAAAATCGATATAACGGTTTAAATAAACAAAACAAAAAAAAAAACAAATAAATAATTAAAATACAATAAACAATTTTGTTAAATTTTTATACATATATTTCTTTGATATATAAAAAAAAAGTAATTAATTTTTATTTAAAAAATTTTATTTAAATTTTTAATTAAAGTTAGTTTAATATATTTCTATAAATTAAAATCAAATACAACAAATTCTTTAATGTTTTTCAGTGAAAAAACATAAAACATTGTTTATCTAAAAAAGTTCAAACAAAAAATTTTTACGTGCGCCAAAATTTTTCGTATATGTTAAGATATTTAGTTAAATAAAAAAAATAAAAAATAAATAAAAAAAAAATAAAATAAAATAGTGAAAAAAGAATTTGGGCAAAATACGTCAACCAATACAAATCGAGTGAATTAACCGTGGAAACACACGCAGTTCAGTTCAACAAAACAAGGTAAACCAGTGTGTAAATGTTAAACGAGAGATACATTCTTTTATCTGGCATCGCATAGTATCAGCCAGATACTTTCAAGTAAAAGATACTGCAAAAATTCAAGTTTATAAATAAGTAATCGGCACATGGGCATAACTGACTGGCGAATGCGTTATGCATGCTGTGCTTCGCATTGTGTATCACTTCAGACTGAAGATGCGCGTATCTCTGGCAACTCAACCCAAACCGATTCCCAGCAACTCATGCCAAATTTCAATTTAATATTTTGGCACTTTCAACTTGTACGTGATCGCATTTGCCTAACGTTTGCTGAGTTGTAGATACTTTTATGAGTATGCTGAATACATTTGAAGTACACAGTCAGCCACATGCCTGCAAACGTGCCGCCGCTCTCTTTTAATGTTTTGATTTTTGTTCAAAAATTTTTATATTTTGAATTTTAGTTTATGAGTATTTTTTTATTTTTTTTTGTTTTTGTTTTTGTGTTCCCTTTACCAACTTCCAAATGAATAAAATCGGAATTTTTATTTGTTATTGCAAATTTTTTAAAAAAAATTTCGTAGAATTTAATTCAAGACAACACCCAAAATTCAACTTTGCATTCGGTGGTATTGCCCACACGTCTTTCTGTCTGTCTGTTTGTCTGTCTGAGGCCATATATAGATCGCTTTACAGCTACTTGTACATTATTCACATCTTCATACAATTGTACATACTTGTCTAGATACTTTTGTTGGCATTTTTGTATATGTATCTTTTGTTGTGGCTCGTCTGTCCTTGCTCGTCTGCTAGTAAATTTGCGGTGTCAGCTTTAATTTTATCATTTAAGCATTTTTTGAACTTCTTGAAAATTGCATAAAGCTGTGAAGTCGCACTATAACATACAGCATTTTACATGAAGAGATCTAAGACTCATAATTAAATAATACAATATTTAATATTTATTCACGTAAGTTTTCGTGTTTAGTTGTGGTTTGTTTGGTTCAGTTTTGTTAGATAGATAGTTTTTGTTTACATCTGTTATTATTTTGTTATTTTTCTATATTAATTTTTGTCTCTTGTTAATTTTGTTAATTTTGTTACGTTTGTCATGAGTCATTGAACTCATTCACACATGCTGGCAACTTTTAACTTCCGAGTTGTGCCCCGCATTTTAAAATAATTTGTCATTAAAAAATTAATTTTTTTTTTTGTTTGTTTATAAATTCTTAAAATTTTTTCTTTGTTTTAAGTTTTTGGCATATTTTAAGTTCTGCTGTTTAAACTCGTTTTATTTTAGTTTTAACTTCAACTTTAACCTTTAATAAGTTGGCTTTTTGAATACTGTATACTGAATTCAAAAGAAGTTGAAATGGCAAAACTTTGAAGTATAAACTTTGCCTAAAATTACTCAAAAATACTTTGCGGAATTTTTTCATTATTCATATTTGGAAAAGTAATTAGACTTTTTATATTTGTAATAAATTTAATGTAAGAAAAAGTTATTAAGATTTATGTGCCAAATGCAGTTCATCAAACAAAAATGGAAAAGTTCTTTTTATGACTTTCTCCAACAAAGTGCAAAAATTTTTGCGGTTCTGTGTGAAATACTGAAATGTTTCAACTTTTACATAATATAAATGTACTTATGTACTGCTTCTAACATAAACCAGAGATTGTTAGTTATCTAAATTATACATTAACTTGTTATAGTGGTTATAGTATACTTGTGTAATTTATCTAAATAAAGAAGTATAAAGCAATTCGCGTACTTTACACAGGTATACCTGTATAATATATCAATACCAATAAAGAAAGTACAATATAAATACTATGTACTATACAAAACAATATTTTCTTTATAAGTTAGAAATATTCGAAAAGTAAACTATAAACAACAACAAAAATTGTAATTAATTTGTTCAAAATTTAACTGACCAAACATATATTACACAGGTATACCTGTATAATATATCAATAATGAAAGTACAATATAAGTACTATGTACTATACAAAACAATATTTTCTTTATAAGTTAGAAATATTCGAAAAGTGATCTATAAACAACAACAAAAATTGTAATTAATTTATTCAAAATTTAACTGACCATACATATATTACACAGGTATACCTGTATAATATACCAATAAAGAAAGTACAATATAAATACTATGTACTATACAAAACAATATTTTCTTTATAAGTTAGAAATATTTGAAAAGTAATGTATAAACAACAACAAAAATTGTAATTAATTTATTCAAAATTTAACTGATCATACATCGCATTAACGTCCAACATTCATGGAAAATAATGTTGCCGAAATAAATTAAACTTTTCATATCTACAATATTCTTTCCTTCGATTAAAAAAATATTGCCATTAATGGTTTTTATAAGCATTAACATCGTATATTTTAAGTCTTCTCTTCAGTGATTTCCTGCTCAAAGTCTGGTTTGCTTTGCATATCTGCAAGAAAGAATAAAGTACAATGCAAGAAGAAAAAGAATTACAAGAACTACAAGAAAATTAACATATTCGAAATCGTCTAGGGAGTGATTATGTCTCCACTTGATACTGCGGTTTTCATTATTAAAATTTTCAAGGTCTCAATAAAGGACTGCGACAATATACTACATATAGCGGTGACAATAAAACAAAAAATTTATATTAAATTTTTTTTAATATTTTTTTAATATTTTTTTAATATTTTTTTAAACTATTAATATTTTAATTATTATTAATTATCAATTATTATTATTAATTATTAATATAATAATATTTAAAACAAAAAAGTTATATTAAATTTTTTTAATATTTTTTTATATTTCTTAAAACATTATTAATATTTTAATTATTATTAATTATCAATTATTATTATTAATTATTAATGTAATAATATTTAAAACAAAAAATTTATATTAACTTTTTTGTTTTTATTTTTTTATTATTTAGTGGATTTTAATAACTATATTTTTTATTTACATATACAATTATATTATTTTGTATATGATTTTGACATAATGTCCTTAGTCGTATAATTTGTTTTATACTACTTAGGAAAGTCTATTGGTTTTAAATTAGTAATATAAATAATATATTATGTGTTATGTATTTTTTTATTTTATCTATCATTTAATAAATAATTATTCTTTTTATTATATGGTTGATACCCTTGTCACAATAAACTTCAAAGAATGTAGAGATGTGGTGACATAGTTCCCAACTCTATCAAAATCTAATCTAGTGGTTGATATTCTCGAACATAGAAGCTGATAGTCTTCTAGATGTAGATACTCTTGAAGTAAATATTCAATTTTTTCATTTTGATTTATGGTCAATTTAAATTCCATATAAGACACAGAAACAGAAGTTTCTGTGGACTTTTATCCTATTACGTTATAGTTTCATAACCTATGACATTATTTTTCAATGTCATACTACACATGTCGCGTATAGACTATAGTCTAAGAACTGTCAAATACTTTTAGTATTAGTGAGTAATAAGAATTAATAAGAAATATGGATTTTACCCGCTATTATTTCAATATCTGTGAATTATTTATGTTTTTTAGCCAATGGATGTTTTATAGTGATGTAAGCTTCCTTATTACAGTATCCATTCTATTGTACAATTTTTTATTTTTTGAGTGCGGTAGCTGCATTCAATTGTACTAAAATAGCATTTTATAAAGTTACCATATATATAAGAACTACTTATTAAGGTTCTTGTCTTCGAAATATTTGTTTTTAATAATATCTTCTGCTCAAAAAGTACTCGGATTTTTATAAATAAAACACACAAATTTAAATTTTATTTCAAATTTATTTTATCTTCTTCAAAATATGCTCTTTCTGAAGCGATACACATATGCCAACCCTTAACCCAATCTTCCATACACTTTTCGTATGCCCGTGCAGGTATGGCTTTTAGTTCCTTCAGCGAATTCTCTTTTACCGATTCAATCAACTCAAAACGCTTACCACGAAGCGGCAATTTGAGCTTCGGGAGCAGAAAAAAGTCGCAAGGATCCAGATCTGGCGAATATGGTGCCTGAGCGATGACAGTGGTGCCGTATTTGGTCCAAAATTGCGTACAACAAGAATTTTCCATAGTAAAAATCGCTAAATGGACTTCAGGTAGTCTCACATTAACAGCTGCTGTAAACAAACTAATTGACAGATGGCGCTCAAATTTGTACCATATGTCAAGAAAGGGTACAATTTTTAAAAAAGGTCTATTACTTAAAGATTAGTTAACAAACAACAAAATCTGAATACCTTTTTGAGCAGACGGTATAACATAATAGGAGGTTGGCTGTTGAGGCATTCCTTTCTAATAAATGGTTACTAGAAACTATTAACTTTACAAAAATTTATGAATCCTAATATAATTAATTGCAATAAATATTATAACTACAAATACTCGAATATTAAAAATAACACAATAATGTAAAGACTATCAAACACTGTTGTACTGATATTCTCAAACGATTTCAATATTAAGAAATAATTTTAATTGAAAAATATTTCAAAAATGTGTAAAATGTTGTTTTTAATTATTTTTTTACACACTTTCGAAATAATAAAATTATTAAAAAATGAATAGTTTTTCATTAAAATTTTTTTATGGAATTTGATTATCGACCACAATTAATAAAGTAATTGACCAACATTAATTTTTGGAATTCATTTTAACATCAATAAAGTTAATTAAATTTTATGGTATCAAAACCACAAATAAAAATAACAATATATAAAAAAAAATAATTGTATTAAAAACTTTAATTTTACAAAATAAATTAAAATAAATTTCTTCATAATAATAATTAGCTTAAAATAATTTTCAATGGCATTTAATTAAAAAAATAATATGAATATTTATAGTTGTTTCAGAATTATATAGATAATAGGCGCGTGTTGGTACCATAGTTATATAAAAAATTTAAATAAAAATATATAAATCATGGTATAAATAATAAAAGATTTATTTTTTTTTTCGCCTAATATGGAATTCGCTT